ATACTCCATCACCTTAAAAAATTTGCTGCCATCTGAAGCATCAACATTGGGCGACCAAGGATGAGGGAACAACCCAAGAGGCACATGAATAATATCTAAATCAACCTCTGTGGAGGGCCCACTAGATGAGGAACCCGATCTCCACATCCCCAGTCCATCTTTCTGAAGCTCATGACTCAAAAGTGTGTAGAACTCGAGAGTTGGCCCCAACCCAGTCCCTACCTCACCAAAATATTCAACTTCAAGAATAGCCTTCTGACTGGAGCACATCTCCATAACTTTGGCGGCCGAATCCAATATCCGATTCCTCGAAACACGAACCTTCTGTCTCTGTAACCTCCCGACCCTTACCTCCCTGTCGCCAGCCGATCCATGGCCATCGGCACCTTGCTGCTGCTGGAGCCGATACAAGGCCCGGGACAATCCAAAAGCCGTGGAATAGAAATACTGGCGCCTAGTTTCGAAAGGAAATAAAAAGGGGCAGGCTTTAGTTAATTGGTAGCACCAAGATGGGAGAGAACCGCTGCAAAGTGCGAGAGCATCTTGAATTTGACGGGCGAGTTTCGGAGTAAGCTTCCCGTTTATAAAATCCTCCGGCGGAACTCTGACACCTGTCGTGGTGAGCTCGTTCAGACTCGACACTTTCCCCTCAGAGAACATGTCCATTATCTGCTGTGACCTCAGACGACGGGCAAGTTGGTTCATCCCGTCCAATACGCGCAACAATGCTAGTATGTTATAGGTCGGATTATTTCTTTCCAGATCACAAGGGAGCTCTCCTTGAAGAATGCTATCCAATAAAGACACATTTTGGGTCGATGCATCAGAAGAGCCCAAATTACTAGAAGAATTGGCTTTCGTCGACTTCGATGGAGTCGTGGAGCTTATGGTCCCAAGTGAAGACCTCTCGGCTTGACCATCAGCCTTTTGATACATAATGGTGTAAATATCTGTCCAGAGCCTGCTACCATCGCTAGATACGAGATCGCTGCCAGCAAACCCATCCTCGTCATCCTCATCAGAAACGAGCTGCCTTTGAATAGCCTGATAAATGGTCAAATGTCGACTAAGTTGCCTTCCACCTGCGGTGAATATTAGCTTCGGAGAACCTTTCGAGCCAAATACGAGATTCCCATGCCGGTCTCGACCTCCCCTCACTCCTTTACTGTTTCCAGATGCAAGTCCAGCCATGGCAGCTGCAGCAAAGGACATTGCTCCCCTTGAACCGAACAAACTACCACCAGCAGAAGCTCGGCTACTGGAACTACATGTTGCGTTGTTATGTCCATCGCTCGAGTTGGGGACAGGAGAGTCTTCTACAGAGTCGGTCAACTTGACATCATGCACTCTGTCCGGCATGCACATGGGAAGGTTATCATCTCCAAGGACCTGTCAACAATGCAAATTGATCTAAATTGGCCAATGATATCCAATAATGTATAAAGAAACTCATATTAATATCTGATGACTTTGTTTCGTGAATTGCCTATAGCCAACTAGATCTAAACCCACACCTTGATACCCATACGCATCTTTACTACGTGTGAGTTCCACGTATTATGATGAGGGAATGTAAAAATTATGATTCAAAATTGTCACAACCACCCACAGTTTGAAATTGCATTTCACATATGCACCTTAATCCTCCAACAGTTGATAGAAGATGTTTCTACTTCATATGAGTGGGAATCAACAGATACCAAAAGGACAGCATGATTCAAACAAAAGTATCGTTATGCACCACCAGCAATAAATTCAGGTATCTCTATATATCTATTCAGTAAAATGAGAAGCTTACATCATCATTTTCATCATCGTCGTCATCATCAGATATATCATCATCTTCTATCACCAAAGCCTCATCAATTTCAACAGGTGAAATATCCAATTCATCATCCTGCAATGTCCAGAAACACATTACACAATTTAAAAGGAACTTCTAAAGAGGAGGTGCTCGCAAGATGAGCACCATCAGAAACTAAGCTATCGCAATATGAAGTGGATAACATTCGACACTATAGGGCTTGAAAGCAGTTAACAGGTTTACTAGATCCTATCAGCCTACTATAGATGTATCCTCTTCACCCACCAGATGACAACACACAGTTATCCAAAACTCAGACAACCTACAGAACTTAACACAATTCAAAACAGCCTCTCAACTAGCAAATATCATCAGTCAACCGAAGAAAATACCTCAGAGCTGGTGGCCCCCTCCGCTGATTTCATCTCGTTGTCTTTGTCCAGTGCCGCTCGTCTCCGGGTAGCATTCCGTGTCTGGGGGCCCCGACTCTCTTCCTGATTAGGCTTCAGAACCGCTTTTCCTTTTGCTTTTGACGAGCTCAAGCTTTTCTCAAGTGACGAATATTTCTCCCCAGCATCGTCTATATTCATAGAAGATCTGGAACGTGTGGACTGACGCCTGGAGGCAGTAGCCGGAGTTGGAGCAGATGGTGAAACCTCTCCAGTCCCCGTAGCAGCAGTTCCCACCTCAGAGTTATCAGTGGATACCGAAGGAATCTGACCCGACTCACCCCTTTGAACCCTTGGCCAAAGGAAATCCTCAACAGCAGCCAAGCTCGCCAGCGGATCAATCAACACAACATTCGACGAGTAGTCACGAAGAGATTTCTCTCCCTGGGCCCGACAAAGGCGCAGCTTAAATGGCTGAGAAAGGGCACTCAGGCCTGATGAAAGACGGGCATTGACACTAGACGGTCGAGACGAGTGGCTAAGCACAACAGGAAAGCGCTCTAAAGAGGACAAAGCACTCTGAAGCTTCTGAACCAAAACACTCATGGGAACTAAATTACCTTCTCCAACGCTCGAGGGAAGAGCCACAGAAACAAAAGATCGGTACCTCCTGATTGCCTGTTGTCGGAGTTTGGGCATGTCAGAATCGGAGATTCTCTCCTTGGAGAAGTAGCCGCAGGTGAAATAGTTAAGCAGAGAGGCAACAGCTCCACTACCGATGAACTCGAAAGTCGATACCCCGCCCTCGCGGCAAAATTCCCGCAGCATCTCAGTTATCACCTCAACCAGATTTTCCTCCTGCCTAGCACAAATTTCACCAAGCCGGGGGCCGGAAGCTTTTGATTTTCCTTTTAATTTATTTTTCTGCTCGTCTATTCCAGCATTCAGCTTTGTGCAGAGATTCTTTAAGCGGATGAGATCATCTGTGGCTCCACTCTCACTCCCCTCTGCCCCGGAAGGAAAATATTTTTCCTTGAACAATTTTGCACATGCGCTGACGGTGGCACGTAGGCTAGAATTCAGTGTTGGTATTTCAACTGTATTTGGCTGAGAAACAATACTTGGAATTGAGCTTTTGTCATCAGGATTTGCATCAGAGCTAGGGTTGCTGCCACGTCTACGATTTCGTCTGGACCTTGATGACCCTGTAATGGAATCATTTTCTTTCTCAAGAGGAGATGGCTGAGAACTGCTAGTAGGTCCAGTGAGTATCAATGCATCCACAGCATGAATAACACCTTCCCTTATGAACATCTTAGAGAAAGTATCAGGGAGCTTCTCCATCAAAATTTCAGCTATTTGAAGAGCAGGCACCAGAACTTGAGGATCTTTCCAGGCTAACACACCTGCTAAGAAACTAAAATAGCCAAAAACAGGATCATGTTGCTTACTTGACCAGTACAGGAAAACCAAAATTTATATTTTTTGCAAAATGAGGTTATAGTGAAGCCATGCCACCTTGATATGTTTGTGACACTTATCAAAGATTGAATCATTTCAGACGAGCTGAAGTACATGAGCTTTCCTATAACAGAAAGACATTTATGGCGTACAGGACCATTCACACTGGAACCATATATCTGCAAGCAAAAGTTAAAGAAAACTATAAAACAGTGCTTTCCAAGTTTCGAGAAAAAATAGATGTGCTGATATATATACTTACTTGGACCAGAACAGGAAGGAGATCCATTCCAAATTGCTGTAGAAGTTCAGGCTGATCATTCAATAGTTCTTTACGAGTTAAAACCTCTTGCATATTACCATTTGAGTCATCCGGCTTGCTAGAGGTGCCTGCATTACTCCTTTTAAAAAGCGGGCCTTTCATAAACAAACTACTGCTGACTGGAAGAGAGATCATTCCTTGAGGAAGTGGTGGAAGAAGCTCATTTGCCAGGTTCACAATCTCAAAGACCTGATGATATAAACGCATTCATAGGTGACAGCATGGAGAGTAACATGGATTAAGTGTCCAAAAATACCATTAAAATCTAAATGCTTCCCCAAGATAGAAAACTAATTCACAAAAAGGCCACTGGTGAAGGTTAAAAAACCTTCACCAGACTATAAATGAAAAAAGAATTAAACACCAACCAGGTGAAAATCAAACGGTAGACAAACTCTACTTAATGAATTAAAGCCTGGAAGAGTATGCAATACCTGCTCTGGAGGTCTACTCAAAGCAGGTGAAACAGACATGCTTGACACAAGACCAGGTCCTTGTAATATTTCTTTCAGAGTTCCACTGATACCTA